GTCCACTCCTAGCCCAGTTGCTGAGTTCCCTTGCCCCAAAAAAGATTAACCTTTGGATTCTCATAGGTCCATATGGGGGATTGTCAAAATTATGGTCCCTTTTTGGGTCCCCTAAATTAGGCCCCGTACTAGGCCCCGTATTATAATAGGGACCCAAAAAGGGACCATAATTTTGACAACCCCCCCATATAACGCCCTAGAACCCCCAAAATATCTCCTTAAGACCCTCACATTGTCCATATCATCCCTTATATAGTCAACCCTAAACGTTAAATAGTAGCTTCCATTTTCTTTTCCATTATCCCTATACAACTCCTATTTAATCCCTGTATATACCCAATAATAATCCCAGTTTCCATTTCATTTTTCATTTTCTTTTCCATTTGATTCTCCATTATAGTAGTTTCCATTTTCTTTTCCATTATCCCAACATAACCCCAATATATAACCCCAATAATCCCTATATAATCCCTATAATCCCTGTAGTTTCCATTTTCTTTTCCATTAACACGCTATCAAGGTGCCAAAGACCTCGACTGCAACCGGGTGCGAGTTCATCATAAGCCCACCCGAACCTTGGCCGCAATTCAGGGTTGTAGGGTTTAGGGTTTAGGGTTTAGGGGTTTAGGGTTTAGGGTGTAGGGTTTAAGGGTTTAGGGTTTAGGGTTGTAGGGTGCCTCTGTGCCCTCATTACCTAGACTTGTTTATGGGGTTTTACCTACTAACTAGGAGGTATATCTTTACTACGAAGCTATAGATTTACACTTTCAACCTGCTCATACCTTATACCCAAAATGTTTAACCCAAGCCTGTTAAGAAAAGCCATCTTGGGGACCTTTAGCATCAATCTTTCATAGCATTCTTTTTAAACATGGCTCCTGTGTGTCTTGAGTGTATACATCTACATATATATATATAGACAGAGGGAGGGGGGGGAGAGAGAGAGAGAGGGCGACAGAGAGCGCAGTAGGATTCTGATTAGCAGGAAAAGGCCACCAAACAGGGGCCCACGGATTTCAAGCCTTACTTGAAGGGTTATGGAAAACCTGGGTTGCCGTGACTTATTGTGGCCTTGAAAAGAAGGCCAAAGGCAGCCCTCCATTGAGCCGAAGTACCCACAATTCGACCCATGGCACCCATTAAGGGCACCTCGGCTTCTAAACCCCCTAGGCCTTAAACCCTATCGTCCCCCTTAAGTAGATAGAATCTGGCTTTGGGTATACCACATTCAGATCCCCATATACCCCATATTCTATCTACTTAAGGGGGGACTATAAACCCTAAACCCCTTCAAATCTCAAGACCAAGGCCACACTAACGGCCCCGAGGAGTGCCAGAAGATGAAGTTCCGTACTCCCAAGAAGCAGCGCCTTGGAGTTCAGTCCTACTTGGAGGGTCATGGGGAGTACTGGGTTGCTGTTAAGGAACTTAAATTAAGTTACCATAATGGGTATATATAGTAAATGATAGGGTTTCCCCAGTACAGTAACTTAATTTAAGTTCCTTAACAGCAACCCAGACTAAGTAAGTAGCTTAGGGGTTTAGGGTTTTAAGCCATAGAACAATAACCCCGAAGTTACAAAGTGCCCATGACCCTCCAAGTACTGTTCGGGTCGAGGTCTACAGGTAAGACCTACGTTGAGCCGTCAAGTTTATTAAGCTTACCTATACTGGGTCCTGAGGTCGGTAAATATTACCTTCAGTGGGCTGTTCGTTATGGTTTGGTAATTTGTGCAATTTGGGGCTGAGGCTTGAGACTCGGGTTTTAAGTTTAGAGTTTAGGCTTTCGGTTTATAATAGGGTTTTACATTGGCAATTTTGGGAAAGGGTGTAGGCTTAGTGCTCAGCCTTTTCAGGGTGTCTCGAGGCCTATTCAGCGGGATTGCTACAGCGTATTGACGTTTCTATCGGCTAGGAAGGATCATTGCGCCAAGCTTGTAAAGAACAAATCGTTATGTGAGTCTTCCCACTCGTACTTTGGCCCTCTCTGAAGACTGATTTGGGCAAAACCACGCATGTAGATATCTCATGTATGCCCGAAGGTCTGATGGGCTCGAGTGGGCTCAGGGTGTTAAGTGCTACCTTCAAGTAACGCCGCTTTGGCTTTCAGTGGCAAGATTGGCTGTTGCAGAGTTTTGCCAAATGGCGGGCCCCAAAGTACCAATAAAGAGGTGCTTGTGAGGCATGTGGCGTGCGTGGGTACATACATACATATATATATATATGTATATAGATATATAGATAAAACACACACACACAGCCACACACACACACACACACACACACACACACACACACACACACACGCGCTTGATGACAAGCTTAAGGCCAGCGCCAAAATGATTGGTGCAG